ACTCTTTTCTTTCTTTATAATCTGAGTGCTTCAGAGATCTGTTCTCAGGCATCAAAGTCAAACATACCTTCATTTCTCTTCTAGCTTGAAAGATTTCTGGTTAATCGTTGTACTGTCAGCCAGTCTTGGCCTTAACTCTTCTTAACCAATTTTCCTTTTCGCAGAATTCCATATTTTTTGCGTTTTTGGTAAACGAAGAATTTACAAGACATAAAAAGTTTTAATTCAATTTTTCTCTTCCCAATTCGACCAGCGGTCAGCCGAGAACCAGAGTATGCTACATGACAAACCACATGAAGTGTCCGCATACTCCTGTCTCGGATATCATCTTCTAGTAAATGTAAACTGCATGGATTGTGGACGGAAATTTTCAAATATCGTGTTTTGTTGCCTAATCCATGTTTCCATTTCATAATTGCCCTCCACAGCCAAGAGAACTGCAGTGGTGAATTCAACATCTATAAGCGAGAGGTCAACTTTTGTGACCTTGACAACGTCGATGTTTTTGCCAACCAGGACGAGTGGAACCCGAACACTCCCGAGTACCTTCACCACTAATCGCACTCTTGTCGTTAGCACTTCTGGAGGAGTTGATAAATCGAGTGTGAACATTTCGTCTACCCCAAAAAGCACAACAACTACATTCCTGTTAAGCTCAGACTCATCACGTAGTCCTTTTCAATTTTCGAGCGTGGTTCCAAGCTCTGTGTTGAGTCGTAGCTTGACGAAGTTACCAAACACGTCAGTTGTGACAGCGTCTGCAAGTTCTGAAGTTCGCTTGAATTCCACCGCCCTTTCAAGATCACAAGAAAGATCTTCGGCCCTGACAAGTGCTGTTACGCGACTTGGGAATTCGTCTGTCTCTCCTCAAAGAAGTTTCTCGTCTAACGCGACGCAAGTTATGCTTTCTACACAAACAGTCTCATCAACAGTATTTGTGGCAAATTCCTCGTTAGATGTTCCCAGCTTAAGTAGAAGTGTCACCAATACTTCTTCGTTCGTTCTGCCGAGCAGCAAATCAATTTTTCGTTCTGCCACCATTTTGCTGCCCAACACAAGCAGTTTAGTAGCTGATTCCAAAACAAGTGTTACATTTTCTAGCGCTCTCACATCTGCAGAAAGTAGTGTGATGAACACGAGCAGTTTAATTTCCACAGACATTAGCACAGTCTTGAAGTCAACTTCTCTGCTAACCAGTGCCATATTTACGGGAAACAGAACAGTGATATCAACTACGGAAGTCAGCCTAACTACGACCACTCCCTTGTTGAACTCAAGTTTGGTTACGTCAACGTTGAAGTCACAAAACTTGACGACTGCTATCAGCGCAAGTAGCATCATCAAGTCGAGCGAAGTGTTGCAAAATTCAACAGCAGTGTTAAGTACAATTGCGACTGTTTCTCCTAGCTCCAGTGCCCTTGTTATGAGTTCTTCATTTCTTCTGGCAAGTTCAACCTTTGGAATTAACAGCACCCTAATAGCCACGATGATACCAACCTCAGTCACAGTAACACCAATCTCCATCACGGTGGTACCAACATCTGCTACAGTAATACCAACCAGCTCACCAGTTCAAAATGCGTCAAGCTTTACAAGATCAGCGTCTTCAAGCTCTGTGAGTACACTAGAACTTTCACGGAGCACAATGCAGACGGAATTTAGCATTCCTGTGAATTCCACACAGAGTACACGCACGCTTTCACGTAGCACGCGTGTCCCGCACTCCAGCAGTAAAGTTTTCAATGTCTCAAGCAAGATTCCCAGTTCAGTCCAGCCGAGTGTCACAGTCATACCCACATCAAGACCTCAAGTGAACAGGATCACCAGCATTCTGAAAACCAGTGGTAAGACACCAGTGAATTGTTTGCACATCAAGCACTTTAATGTTATTGAACACTGCACTGAAGTTACAAACAACTCGCCATACATGGACGTTTTTTAGAGATCTTTTAATTTTCTCCACTAACTTTCCTTTCTGTACAAACATACATTGTTCTTTGTGGTGTTGGATTGTCGATGCATTCCGTCTATCTCTTGACGCATACGTTATGTCGGCGTTCATTTCTTCACCCTTGTTGGGGGTGATATCGCTATTCTTTTAACTCCTTTGCTCTCTTTTCTATTCAATCTGGTTTATACTTTTCCTCCTGTCGCTTTATGAGTTGGAACATATACTTTACATTGTTATTCATTCACTGTGTTGGGAAACATACATTTAATCATAGGATGATGTGCTTCGCAAGTTTACTTCCTTGTTCTCCCTGTAATGGCCATGGTAATAGTTTTATATTCAGTGGCATAAGTCGTCTGTTTACTCAAATAGACTTCTTCTCCCGTGACACTTTGTTGTTTATTGTCCCAAGGTTTAACAACTGTCACGTCACACAACGCAACTGTAGTGACACTTAGAAGCACCCTAGTGAAAATGAACTCTTCCACTGCACCAAGTTATACAACTGTTGGAGCAAGAATGACTTCTGTTAGATTTTCGTCACCGCAAATCAAGAGCACTGCAAGCACACTGAGTAACGCTTCAGCTGTCACGCTCTCAAAGCGAAGCACGGTTGTAGTTACAAATTCCATTTTTGTAGGATCATCGTTAAGTTCTGAAGGCACGCAAGCCAATTCCATGGTTAATACAAGTTTGTCGATGACATCAAAGAGCTCGGTTGTCACTCAAAGGAGTAGTTCAGATGTGATTCAGAGTAGCAGAACTGTTTCTCAAAGTACTTCAATCAACCGCATTGTCACACCACCTCGTGTCTCCTATTCGTCAGTCAAAGTCACGCCTTCATCCTCAGCTGTTTCTACAGTGCGGCCATCAGAACTTTATTCTTCGTCTGTAATAGGTTCATTAAAGACAAACACTAGTACAGTATCAACCGTGACATCAAGAGTGATGATAACCGTGACATCCCTAGCAGCGCCAAGCGTGACTTCTGATGTGACATCAAGGGTGATCAAGAGTCACGCTTCTAGTTCCCAAACAGAGTTGATTGTCACGACACTCCTCTCCAAAACATCCTCAGTCACTGTTGTGTCCACCATTCCACAATCGATTTCGCTACTGTTTTCTTCGCTAGGGTCGACAGCGACATCAATTTTCAGCGTGATACAATCCTCCAATCAGCTGTCTTTGAAGACAGCGTTACCGTCACGAAGTCTGACCGTGGCTACTCTAGCCTATGAATCGGCAAGTTCAAGAACTTCATCAGCCGCAAGACTACTGACTTCAAGTCCACGGATCTCAACACCTCTGGATAAAACAACAAAGATGACAACAGCAAAAGAGGTCTATACCTCAAGAGAGACAAGCAAAGCATTCCCTTCTACAACCCTGGAGACCTCGACCCGTAGAATAACCTCGATGACATACAAATCGGCAACTTTCTCATCTCCTTTCTTGGAGAAATCCACTGTTTTAAGCCGCTTTCCGACGATCTCATTAAGTACAATTTCTTTTTCTTCAAGTAAGTCTGGCGTCATTCTAAACAGCTCTTATAGAAGCTATTCCAGTTTTAGTTCTGTAAAATTGCCAAGTTTCATTACATCCGGGACTTTCATCAGTACTGCCTCGCTTCCATTATCGCGCGTTAGTCTCACCCGTCACGTCACCTTTTCTCGTATCACCAAATCACGAAATCTTCTGTCACGCTCACGATTCTCCACTTCACTTCTTTCTACTGCGACT